TACATTCTACATTAATTTTCAAACTTTAAGTGTCAATTTATCCAATCCAATCACATAGTTTTTTAGCAAAGCACGGGTATCCAGCTAGTGATGTATATAAGATTGTGTGCTATAAAACATCACGGGGCAGTATATAAGCCTACAATTTTCTGGCTATTGCTACCTCGATGTTGATTGTTGGTGAGGAGCCAGTGGTGGGTTCCGGATCCCGGTGCAACCGGTACATTGCACCAGGATCCGGAACCGTCCTTACTCCCTGTGATGCTCTGCAATGCTCCAGCTGCTCGGTGGAGCTTCGCGCAGGTGCCGTGCACGTGCGTGGAAGTGCCGAAGAGCTCAAATACAGGTAAGGAGGACGGGCGGGCGGGCCTTCTGGAGCACTGTACCGGAACGGTACCCGGTGCTCCCGGCGGGCCCTGGTATGCTCATACCGGGGCGTACTGCCTGCAACCCACCACTATGAGGAGCTCTTTAGAAGTGGTACTCGCGACCAACCTGGTCTATCTGAATGGCTCTTATTCTCATATCTGCTTTCGTAGATTTTATGACTTGATTCTTTTGCTCCTTAGGTTGGGAGCCACTCAGTTAAAAATTTTCACCTGCGAGTATTGCAACAAGGTGTTCAAATTCAAGCACTCCCTTCAGGCCCACCTGAGGATCCACACCAACGAGAAGCCCTACAAGTGCTCCTTCTGCAACTACGCCAGCGCCATCAAGGCCAACCTGAACGTCCACCTGCGGAAGCACACGGGGGAGAAGTTCTCCTGCGATTACTGCCCCTTCACCTGCCTGAGCAAAGGCCACCTCAAAGTCCACGTGGAGAGGGTCCACAAGAAGATCAAGCAGCACTGCCGCTTCTGCAAGAAAAAATACTCGGACGTCAAGAACCTGATCAAGCACATCAAGGAGGCCCACGACCTGCAGGACAAAAAGGTGAAGAACGTCTTCGACCAGCTCCGCTTAATGACGCGGGAAGGCAAGAGGCAGCTTCTGTACGACTGTCACATCTGCGAACGCAAGTTCAAAAACGAACTGGACCGCGACAGGCACATGCTGGTCCACGGGGACCAGAGGCCCTTTGCTTGCGAGCTCTGCGGCCACGGAGCCACCAAGTACCAAGCTCTGGAGCTGCACGTCCGCAAGCACCCTTTCGTGTACATTTGCAGCGAGTGCTCGAAGAAATTCGTCAGCTCCGTCAGGCTCCGATCGCACATCAAAGACGCCCACGGGGAATTGCCGGAGACCTCGGTTTTTAATAATTCCATCAACCAGAGCTTTTGCCTGCTGGAACCCGGAGGAGACATCCAGCAGGAAGCCCTGGGAGAGGAATTGTCCCAGACGGCAGCTGAACTGTCACTTTTGAACTCCAAGGCGCTCTGCGTGGTGAAGCCTGTTTGCGCAGGAGAAGGAAATGCCACCGAGGGAAGCCATGAAAACAATAACGCCGCGGAGAGTTTGGGAACATCTCCTGCTCTCCTTTTGGATTTTGAAAGCCCGCCAGCAGCCAACGCACCAGACCCAATTTGTGAGCCGCTAACTGAGTTGCTGTCACCACATGCTAGCTTGGTCAGTGCTTCGGATAGCTTTTTGCAGAAAAACGCTTCACCAGATTCAGAGGGGGAAAAGGCCCGTTTGGCCAAAGACCAGCTGCCTCTGGACTCTTCGGCGAACGTCCACTGTGAAGTTGAACAGCTTTTGGGAGATGAAAACTCCAGTTTGAACCAGAAATGCCAAGGTCCAGAGAACGTTCCTGATACCCAAGAAGAGAGCCAAGCCGTTGGTCTTAGTCATCAGGTAGCCAACGACTCAACTCTTGAAAAGACGGAGTCCTCCACTTCCCTTCCCCTTCTAGAACCCGGTGTAGAGTCTCACCAGAAACCAGAGCCTTGTCCTCAACCTCCCGAGGATCAAACTGGAGCTGCAGCCTTTATGCAGATTTTGGACAACCTGCAAAAACAACAGATGAATACAACTTTGTGTGAGAAGATACGGAAGGTCTACGGAGACTTGGAATGCGAATACTGTGGTGAGCAAGATGTTGATGGCTTGTTTTCACATAGGACCCATGAATAGCAGAAGTTTTGTTTCCATAGTAATCACCAGAACAATAGGATTGAGGGTCGGTTTCTTAAGGCCACCCAAGGAAGGAGGGTTGCTACCCTTCTGAAATTAATTATTTTGTAGCTCCCTTCGAGAAGCAAGAGTTCAGGATTCGACTCCTTCTTTAATGGGATCATCTGCCCTGTGAGAGGAACCTAGAGAGGGATCTGGGATTTAAAACCTGGAGGCTGTTCCTAGTATTTGTATTTGTATTGTATTTAATAGATTTATAGGCCGCCCAATCCCGGAGGACTCCGGGCGGCTTACAGAAGAAGTGAATTATAAAAAATTAAAAATTAAAAAACAGAGGAGACAGATTAAAACCGCATCATGCACCCAATCTGGTCGGGGCTGGACCTCA